TATATATATATATATCGAATTGATATGGTGACTTAATAAATAAAAAGAAATGTTTATTATAATATGTTGTAATTTAATTGTGGCATGAATTCATCAGCTGTCTTAGTATCTTTGTGCGTTATTCGCATCGAGATTTGTGATTCGGAGTTAGAAGAGACCACCAGTAAGCATAAACATTTCATTCTCTTGAATGCAATATTTATTACAATTATCAATATAAATAATTTTTAATGTATTTCTGTACCGTAATACTGTACTTTCTGTAATGTATTTCTATATATCGATTGTTCTATATAGTTAGAATATTTTTGTAAAGGGCAATCCTAATTTTTTTCATGATCTTCTAACAAATCGATAACGATAAAGTAATTGATACTGATGTGATTATTATAAGTAATAAATATAATATCATAGGTACGATGGCTGCAAAAAAAACGAGAGGTTGCAGAGAACCAAGGGATATCAATGTTGAAACTTATACAAACAAGACAGAGACTACATCCCCATTATTATCAAACCAAACCACAAGCAAATCTCATTCGTTTTCGAGAACTAATTCCGAAGAGACATCATTTGTAAATTCTAATCATATCGCGAGTTCTACTCCAACAGAGATAACTGGTGCTGCCGCTTGCACTTCACCTGATCAAATAAGCTTTATCTCTGGAAATCCCTTCGTTGAAGTTACGAAAGGCATCCTTCATCTCTTTAAGGAGGAGTAAGTCACTTCTCTTTTGCTTTGAGTCATTCCAAATTATATGATTTGTATGGCATCAATCATCTTTGAATTATATTACTGCTCAAAAGTTTCAGCACACTCTCCATTTATGAAAATAATTTTGTAATATAAAAACAAAATATGTAAAGTTTGCATTTGTATTGTGTTTTTTAATTTGTTATATCATATATCACTAAAATATAAATATTAGGTGTGGGAAAAAGTTCGTGGCGTTTTTCCCATTAAAAAAATGCCATGAACTTTTTCCTATATCTAATAATATATATTCTTTTTTAGACTTGTTACTTCTCAAAATCTAATCTTAGGCTTAATAACAAAAGTCAAATTCTTAATAATCTAAGTAATAGTTACAGATAAGTTATAGATAAGTTTTTTTAAATATCTTAATCAAAAACTTGTGTGTAACTTGATACTTAATATCTATGAAATTATTTATATACCACTTTCTTAAATATTTATCCACGTCCAGCACAAAATTTGAAATCGATATCTTTTTCCAACTTATATACACCTCTATCATATTTGTTCATTTGAAAAGTTTATTTGTAATTTCCGTTTATTTTTTTAGCAATTCACAATTTTGAGCGGTAGTGTATAAACAATGGAAAAAAAATTGATTCAATTATTAAATAAAATCATATTCTTCAGCTAATATCACTCACGGTATTTATCTAAGAATTCTCAATTGAAACTTAAATATATGCTGTTAAATATTGGAAAGCTGCAATAACTGTTAATATAATGCATAACTTCTCTCAACATTTTCATTAAGAAAAAGTGGATTCTAATCAAGTGGGAATTTTGTATACAATTAGCAACTTGAAAATATAATATCAATTACTCACGATTTTATTTTTTGATTACAGTGAATTGACTGAAATGCA